TCCACCAATTCCACTTGTGAAGAAGATCTAGAATCTCCTCAGAAAACACTGGAGATCCCAAGGAGAAGGGAAGGATATGGGATGAGGGTACAGGTTAGGACATGGTGGCAAAATACAAAAACATGGTCCCCACCAGACCCATACCTACCAAACACTCACCAGGTCCTCCAGGGGCACTGAAATCTTTGAAGAAAAAATCGACAATTAACCGCAGAGACTCGAGTAGCAGAAACCAGTAAAGGAAAGGAAGGAGGGGAACAAGACACAGGAATAGGTTCAGAAGGAGGTTGAGACAAACAGGCAGCCTATGAAGAAAGGGAGGTGTGCAAACAGGCAAACTCAACTTTGGACTCTAATGAGTCAGGGACACTCCCAAAGACAACTTACTTTAAAAAGAGAGCCATACATAAGTCCTGTAAGGAGGTTGGGGATAAACGGACACAGGAAAAGTGCATCCATGACCAAAAGATCCCAGCAAGAGAGGAGACATGTTCGAAGGGAAAGTTTAGAAGAGGACAAACATGCAAGAGTGGAAAAAATTAGGCACGAGTTTTCATCAAAAACCCCTCCGGGGAATGATGAAGATCCTCAGACAAAAGGTGAATCAAGGAAAGAGAATGACTGAGGGAGGCGGATATGGGAAAACTGAGGTTGAGAAAACATGACCAGAGTATTGGAATCTGAACCCGACAGAAGCAGAAGAGTAAGCATGGGCTTCCATATTACAGTGAGGTCAAGGCATACTGACTCCATAATGTAATTGTTCCACAAACCTATAGGCATGAACCCCAATGTCTGGTGAGGGGGGGGGGGGGTAAGATATTGGTATGAAGGTGTCTCACTCATTGCTCTAGCTTCAACATCTCAGAAGGGTGGGCTGCACCACTCCAACTCTCTTTTCTCCCACCCAGCCATTTTCTTCATGCTTGACAATCTTTCCCACTGTACAACCTAGTATTAAAAAGCCTATGCTACACAGTTCAAAATCTACTACATGCACCCTTTAAAATCCTGTTTGGCAAACTGACCTGGCTATTCACTGATGAATGGAATAAATCTAATATTCGCATCATAGGTTATGCTTGCATACAATTGCAAACGACCAACCCCCATACATATAGTGTGTATTTTCTCTCCCTCCAGTATTGCAAAAATCCTACACAGTACACACATGGCAGTATTGGAAACATCACTTCTCAATTCCACGCATAGCACATGAAGCATGAGATAAGGCGGGAGTTGTCTTATGGTGTCAGGTATTACAATAGGTTTAATTGGAAGAACTATCTATCATCGTCAAAAACTTTTTGTCTTTTAAGTTACTGCAAGAAATATTGAGCGTTTTTAACACAATTTATTTGGAGGAAATTGCCCAATAATGTGTTTCAGAGAAATTTCAAAGTGAATTTATGAGCAATTAAATTGCTAGTTTAAGTAGTGGCTTTTCGTTTTGATCCCAATCAAAGAAGTTCCGGTAGTAACACCTTGCATTAGCCTTTTTGTTACCATAACTGCTATCCATCATGTGCAATGTACAAAAATTTGACGAAGTGTTTCAGTCATGACCTAGCCTAACCCTTTGCAACTTTGGGTCAGGAATTCAATCATGTTATATGGAAGATGGTTGGATAAGCTTATAGACTGCTGGAATGACTTCCGAAAATTCGTGGGATTTCTGTTGTTTGTTTAACTGATAGATTCTTGAGATTAAGAAATAAGTCTACTGACATTAGTTCTAAGACATTTTGATAGGCCCTAGGCCTAGTCCTGGATAGATTAAAATTAGACAAAACAACAAATAATGAAGGACATTTCTCTTTCAAATTTCATTCATTTATTTCAGTTTCTGCAATGGACACTTATCTTACCTTGTAACAGCACCCAAGTTGAGAGCACAAGGGTCCTTTTGAATCTTAATAAAAAGGTATAGAATTGCCTAATCCTGAGGTAGGATAAAAACTGAAGTCCTTGAGCTTTTACGTGAAAATGTGCTCCTTCAACTAAACTCCACCCTGCCCCTTTTTCAATGAAACTAAGGGTCTGTCACTTAAAAGGGAAGAATCAAAGAAAATGAGAGACAAAGACAAAACACAACAAACCTGGTTCATCAACTCCAGGAAAGGAGAAGGAGGCCTGGGTGCATCCACTAGAGCTAAGTGTGACTGTGTGGCATAGGATGGGGGGAGGAAACAGCCTGTCGAAATCATCATCCTCTAGTTCAGGTACTCCTAAACAAGGCATGATGGGATAATCTTCAGGCTAATCAGAAGCATGCATGAAGGTAGTCAGTTCCAAGTGAATCAAACCAAAGCCATTACGTTTTCCACTGATAACTGCGAACCCAAAGCCATTGTAGATAAAGTACAGTTAACTGCAGTAGAAATAGCAGTGGTAGTAGTTGTAACATTAAACTCAGAATTCATGATAACTATGAGCAGAATTAGAAAAATCTACAAAGGGAGCTCCAAAGAAACATGTAAGAAAATGAAAGACATGTAATATTAACATGTATAAACGAAATTTCTAAAACTGAAGAGGAGCAAACATAAAAAAAAAGTTCTCATAGAAAAGGTAATAGACTGAAAATTCTGTAAAGTAAAGCTTGAGCAAAAAACATGTTTTAACAACATGAGTACCAATTGAGAAGTAAGGTTGAGCTAAGCTGCATAGAGGGAGTAAGCTGTGCTAGGAGTTGTGTGCGCTCCTAATGGTAGAGGGTTGTTGCATGCTATCATGCACTTGGCTTAAGTAAAAACACATGAGGGTAGGTGGGAGTATTAAGGCTTGTGGCAAGCAAAAATTTGTGCATATAGAAGGCAGTAAAAGTAAAAAAAAGAGAGAATAATTTTAGTGTCTTAACCTGTTTTTATATAACAGCCCCTCCATACAGGAATCACTCAAGTAACCCTCTTTATGATATCTTTCTACAACCCAATGTCCTTTTTAAAGTATAGAGCTCAACACCAAACACAGTACTCTAAATAATTCCTAACCAGAGATCTCTAAAAAAAAAGAAGCAATAACCTCCTTTTTGTTCCCAACAGAAAGAGTAAACTGTCTGGTATTCTTAAGAGACTTGTCAACCAAGACATCCTCCATAACACTAATGAGTTGATTTCCATCAAGGTGGCAAAGTAGCCCACATGCATTTATCATATTCTTAGCACAACATAGTGTCATCTGCCATTTATTTGCCCAATTCATCATATGAACCAAACTCTTTGTAAAACAACAGCGCCTCCTCACCCCAAACTAAGCCAAAACCTTTTATCAGCAAACTTGATGAATTTCCTTATAAGTATTGTAACTGTACATCAAAAGGAGTAAGAGTCCCAGAACAGAGACCTGAAGTACATTTGCAACTCCAATCTAATTTGACACAACTCCATTTATTATATGCATGATGAATATTCTGGTTACCAAATTAGAAACATATGAATTAGCAATTATTACAAATATTATCAATTTTGTTATTATGTTTTAATCCTTTTTCATGATACCAACGTTTATTTTTCTAAAGCAAATATATCTACCAATGTACCTTTCAAGCAGTTCCGGCAACAAGAGGTTGGTCAAGGTTTGTAATCCTTGAAGTAGTTTTATCTTTTATTATTTTTGCAAAAAAATGTTTAGCATTTTGTGAGCACGTTATCTTCACGTGAAACTATAAATGAACAAGCTTAGATCCCATATCTTTAGTATTTCGTTATGTATTGATACAAGTTTTTTCTTAAAGAGCAAACATTTTCAGAAAAATCAGCTATTGTTTAAACTAAATTTATAAACCTTTACTTACAGTATAAAATACATGAAATATATATACTACATATAGGCTTGTGCATATGATAAGCATGGTACTACTATAGGCCTAATGGAATGCTTCTTTCTTTGGATTATGGTCAAAGCTTTTCATAAAAAAAAAATAATTAATTAGTCCATTTTCTTTAAATCATCTCATTTGTAACAGTTGTGATTAACTAAAATCTGTATTAAATCTTTACTGAAGTATAACCTGATCAAAACATTTTACGTGCACAAAAACAGCCAAGCTAGAATAAACAGGTCAGCCATATCATGTTGTGGTATCAAAATAAAAGAATAAAATTACATAAAAGGGCAAACCCTGCAAAAAATGTAATGTAAAGTTACTAAGTTAAACAAAACAAAATTGGGGAAAAAATTGACATCCCATTTTTATATTTGAGTTATTGTTTGTTCTAGTTGAAATAAAAAAAAGGGGTCAATTGATGAGGAGCAAATACAAATTTTAAGTGGTTTGTTGATCAACAGAATTTATCAATACCACTCCTTTTCACAGTGGAAATTTTGTTTTGTGCAAATCCTTCTTCTTTTACTAAATGTTTTTCCCATTCAACAAGAAGAAAAAAAGAGCAATAGTTTTACAACTGTCTGACTGCTTACATCTCTTAATCAAAAACAGATATGAAGCTGCTGTAAACATGTTGTGATCTGTTCAGAAACATGAGAATACTGCCATTCCAGGATTTGGAAAAGCTGTGCCAATACCCCAGATTTTGACAAAGTTTGGCCTGTATACAGAGTCATGCAGTGTTGCTCCTGCTTTCTAACTTGGCTGGAGTGACTGTAGATATGGTTCTTAAACAGTTGGTGAAATGAGTAGTATATCTACATGTTTTGTAGTGTTTGTTGATTTGCCGTACAACTTACTCTAGTAGATTTAATCAAAATCACAAAAGAATCAGTTATCACATACACATATACATTCTTCTGATGTTTCAGTCCTTATTTTTTTCCCTAATAAATATTTATGTATGTACTTTACAATAGTTTATTGTATTTATATTTTAGTATCCTGGCAATAGTACTTCTAGTTTTAATATTTAGTAGTATATTTTTAGTTTGTTTCTGTAAGTCATAACTTTCTATACAAAACATATTTAATTATCATTGAATTTCACTTTAGAATTGAAAATTCACATGATAGTCATTTGGATGCTAGATGAGTATGTACAACTAACCTGTGTTCCCTCGCTGTACACCTTGTCAAGTAGTTTCTGTAGCTGAGGAGGAATGAGGCTGTCTTTGTTATCTATAGAACTAGAAGTGAAGTCTGAAACAGGAGCTTCTTCCTCAGAATTACATAGGCTCTCACTACTACCAGTGTTGCTTTCCTTGTATGGAGTTTGTAATTTTTCTTTGTACTCTAAAATAAACAGAACATTCCCAATTTAACAAATAAAACAAAAGTTACTCAACAGCTGAATGTTATTGATAAGTAATACCATACTTAAGAAATCATTAACTTCCATAATTATTTCTACACCATCTACTTTTCAAAGTGAAACAAGAAGTAGTTTTTCTTTCTATATAAATAGGTTGCAGAAAAACCCTTTCACAGATCTCCATCTCAAATACACATGCTGACACAACTTGCACTTTTACATTAGATTCTATAAACTTCCTATCTGGGGTGATCTAGATTAGCTCATAATTAGTTCTGCATTACATGTAGTTGATTTTAGTTAATAGAAACATATGGTTCCTGTTCAGTATTATTCAATCTGTGGTATGTTCAAATTTATAATTGGCGAATAATTGTTATTATCTCTCCCAATAGCCTGGAACTCAAAATTGAAAACTATTCAATGATTTTATATGAACACCATATCTCGTGTATAAAAGCAATGATGTACTGGCCAACTGGGCCAATAGCTACTCACTGTATTACTGTTCCCCCTTTTAGTGTGTGTAAAGTGTAATTCACTTGTTGTGTGCTTCATTAATATTTTTAGAACCTAACACTATTCTGCAGTAACTCTATGCATTTATTAACCTAGCACTAATACCTAACTAATTTATTTTCCTACACATAATCAAATCAGTACGGAATTTAATAAAGGGAAGGAAAAATTGTTTAAAAACCTTAGTTACAACATTTTTGATATTTTCATCTTAAGTAAAATTCAATAAACAATATTGTTTCATTTTGCTAAATGATTACACTTTAAACTTAGTTGTGACTTAGGAAATATAATTCACATTTTTCTTACCTGAAAATGTATTTGTGGCAGATACTCACCTCTCACACAGTCAGCTATCTTCCATGTGCATCTTGCCAAAGAGATTTGCATGCCACTAGCCTTGAGACAACTCCCACCTAATTTCACTTAATCTAACATGAACTGCACTACTGCATGATGATGTAATGATGTGGCAAAGCCTTCCACTAATAGAAGGGCAACACACCTTCATGTGCAATACCCCCCATGCATTTCTACTTGAGAAATTCATTCTTTGATGAGGCAAGTTTGAATACAAAAGTGAGAAATACATTTTCAGGTAAAGAAAATGTTAATTTTCAAGAAAATACCCCACCTCTTCATACAGTCAGTTAGAATCCCACGTTAAAGTGGTGGAAGGGGCAGAGCAAAGTTTTACCTAAATGAGCTTCCTTCGGAAAGTACCCAAAGGATGCCCATGGAGTGTAATATCTGATGACAGGGGCTTCATAGGGAGACCCATCTCATCTTGTCTAGCATATATTCTTCACCCAGGAAGAAAGGGAAGAACAGACAAATGAGTGTCATGTATCACAGGAATGGGCAGAATAAGAACATGGTCATCCAAGGACTTGCACACAGAAGATCAGAGAGCCAATATGTGTAGTGTGGTTGGGGTGCATTCAGAGGGCACAGTAGTCATGCCACAGAGGGTGATATGGTGTGTGCACACCTTGACTCAACTAAACAGACATCAGCTGCAGGAGAAAGGCACGGTATAGTAATGCATGCTTGCCTCAACTCAACTGAATGAATGACACCTGCAGAAGGAGGGCATAGGTGTATAGTGTGTTCTCACCTAAACTCTACTGAACAGACATGACCACCACAGAAGGAGGACACAGTATCATAGTGCATGTCCACTTCAACTTAACTGATTCAGGATGCAGGAGGACACAAATGGCATATGTCATAAGTATAGCTATATGAAGGGTGACCTGTACTACACTTACAGTGTTACCACCACCTGACTTCCCACTGTATTGGTACTCAATTGTATATTGCTCCAGTGCACAAATCCATTCAAAAAGGGTTTACCATGGTCCACCAAACCTGCAACTAGGAACTTTAAGTGGCAAGGGTCTTCTGTGCTCCACTTGATGAAAAGTGAGGGGAATTCATGGTAGGGAGACCTGAAGAAAATGCCTGGATCCCCATCAATCCTTCAGTCCAGAAAGGTCTATACTGAGCACAATGCAATGGGTGACTGGGAAATCTTATTCTGAAAAACCAGCAAGTACAAGCCAGGGAAGCAGGCAGAACACACTCCTGATGCTGGCTTTTTCCATGATAGTTCAAGGAATAGGTATGGTCGTGATCAGACAAAAAGATAAATATATAGATATATCACGAAGATAACTCAAGTGGTTTTGTGGAACTCCCCGTCTCACAATGTGCATATATAAAGCCAATACAGATGGTATAAACACTTTCTGTTATCCTGGTTTGATGCAGATTTTGGGAAATAAGTATACCCTGGATCAGACAAAAATGTAAATTTAAAGATATACTACATTATCATTTGATAAGATCCTAAGAATGCAAAAGGGGCACTGAAAGAGAAACAATGGAAAAAGGAGGTCTGTGAATAGGCACACCAAACAAGCCAACAGGTCATGGGAGCCAATTTGGGTTCAAACAGTCCAATAGGTGAGAGAGAATGAAGAGAGATAGAAAAGAAATACAGGCAACCTCCAAAGCAGTTAAAGACTGAGGAAGGAGAGATTGGATACATAAATTCAGTAGAAGAGAGTGCGAGAAGAAGGAGGGAAGAAGTCAGGATAAAGACTGTACAAGAGACAGGAAGTCAATGGATGGAATGGGGCATGCACCAGATCTTGTAAGCCTAATTAAGGTCTCAGTCAGGCATTGGAGCCAGATAAATTGTGGAACAAAGTGGAAAGGACAGAGAAAAAACACCTCATAGTACCAAGAAAGGAGAAAGGCCATGGATAAGCCTTCCTAACAATTAGTAGAGGTACAAACCGATAAACCCATGATGAACAGTCAAGGAAAAGAGGTAGAAAGGTAGCCATAGGATGACTGTCGGATGAAAGGAGTGACAGAAAGACAGATGATAAAAGATCTGCCAAAGTTGTTGGTAGAAAAGAGCAGTGGAAGAAGAAGAAGAATGGAACTTGAGGAGTTATACAAAAGGGAAAAGTCTAGCCCAATGAGTGACATATTAAACAAGTTCCATACACATGGAGGAGAGAAAATAACCCTCAAAGAGAGAGAGAGAGGAGATTGAGGAAAGAAAAAGGGTTCAAATACTAATGGACCAAGGCTGAGCTGAACAAGGAGGAGCAAACAACAGAACTTGAGAAGGAATGTTTGTACAGATGAGGATCAGAGGGAGTACATAAATAGGAGAACAGGCATATAGAAAAAGAAAAAACAAAACCATAAGGAAGGAAGCCTGGAGTTGTCAACAGTAGCAAATGTATCTAAAAATGGCACGACCAACCAAGAGCAAACCCCACAAAAGACCTGGGGTATAGAAAACACACTATCAATAGAATGCAGACTGACCAAAATAGATTTTCCATTATCCAGATAAAAGCTCTTGGCAAATGAGAGGCAAGAAGATCAACATGATGTGAATAAGTCCAGAGTAGTATGACAAATGTCTGATAGTAAAGGGCCCTTGAACAGGAGCCTCATAGACAGATAGGGTAAGAAACAACTGTGTAAGAGACTGAGTGGAAAAAGAACAAGTATTCCACCATAAGGAGCAGGAAAATGCCCAAAGAACAGAGAGATGGTTGCACCCATTAAAATAGAAGGAGCACATGACAAGCATTGAAATGTTGGAAGTCCTACCCTCAAAAGAGAGGGAAACAATGAAGAAGGGAAAGATCCTGTGTGAGAATCAGTAAGTTATTGAAGAAAGTTGACCAGACACAGTCTAATCACCAATACAATACCAAAAGAAGATGCTCTCAAAGGGAAAAATTGACTCTAAGAATGAAAACCATGGGTCTATAAGGTCCATTGTTGGAGACACATTAGTGATTACTCCAAATGGATGAGGGGGTTCAAGGGAAGCCAGAGCTCTTAGAAGCAAAAAAACCACTTGTATAGGGAGAGAATGAGACTTGTAAAACCTGGTGGCCAGATATGCTATAGCTCAAAAATGGTAGGCCAAACTTGGTTGAGACAAGAGAAGAAATGTCCAAAAGTACCAAACATTAAATGGGTGTGAGATAGGACACAGATCTCATGACAAGCATATCCCCCAAACCAAGTACCCACAGGAAATGAAGGAAGGCAGGAGAAGAGGAAACATCCAAGAATAGACTAACAGAAGAAAATAGTCTGAACAAGGAATACCAATCCCAGGGGTGTGAATATGGCAAGCAAAGGCTCACACAATGCCAAGAAATATATAAGGAGGCTGATACTGGGTTGGTAGGAAAGCAAGGAACATGAAAACATGAAAATGAAGGAGGAGCAGAAAACAAAGGGAGGACATGCCAAAAAGGATGTGTAGGAAGGCATACAGGAAAGAGGAAAACAACCTGACCCGATGAGTCTCAACAGCAGAGGAACAAAGGATGGAGGGATAGGGCAGAAAAAATGGAAGAGGCCAAACAAAGAAGGGAACAAACATCTACAGAAGCACTAAGAAGTGCTTCAGATAAAAGATAGAAATAGGACAGGGCATACAGAAAAGTAGAGAGAAAAATACAAAAAATGTGAAAAAGAAGAACTAGAAAGTGAAATAGAAGTAAGGGGCTCAATCCCCAAGCTGGTCAGGTACATACCAATAAGAGGGAATAGGGAAGAAAGTCTATAAATCAAGACAAATAGAATTACAAATGTAAGGGGACGAGGCATTTGGGCATGAGAAAGGAGCTAAATTAGCTAAAGGAAACAGTATAAGACTAACAACAAGCAAGAAGAAATTATAAGCCCAAGAACTGTAATCAGAAAGTGAGAAAATGAAAAACATAACGATCACAGGCAAAAGAGATGGAAAGAAACATACCTGAGAACTAAATCCAACACTGGTTCTCACTGCTGCACATTGCAACAGTGTCTCGTAAAACCTTCACTTTCTTGTCCCCAACATAGACTTCACATACTGGCATATTATAATTTGTTGGCGCCTCTTGATATTTGTCACATGCTCCTATCACTA